ACTACCTTGAGAAGCCTGAGGAGATTAGTAACATTAATGAAACCTTATTGGTTCTGATTCCCAAAGTGGATAAGCCGGAGAGAGTCGAACAGTTCCGTCCTATAGCTCTGTGTAATGTGTTGTATAAAGCAATAACCAAGCTGGTTGTCAACAGGCTGAAGCCCGTCATGGACAAGCTAATCTCCATTTTCCAAACCAGCTTTGTCCCAGGGAGGATTATTCATGATAATGTGATCATAGCGCAGGAAATGACACATTCCATGAATAGACAAACTGGCAAGAAGGCTTACATGTCTATCAAGATTGATCTGGCCAAAGCGTATGGCCGCTTAAACTGGAATTTTGTTAACCGGATCCTGGTAGAGGCTGGCATTCCCCAGCACCTGGCTAATATTATTGAGGCTTGTATTAACTCAACTACTTTCCAGGTTTTGTGGAATGGCAGCCCCTCCAACAAATTCAGACCTACCAGAGGCATTAGACAAGGTGACCCGATCTCCCCTTATCTTTTTTGTTCTTTGTTTGGACAAGCTCTCCCATATCATCGCAGAAGCAGTTCGAAGTAAGAAATGAAAACCGATGAAAGCTGGTAGGAATGGTCCCCTTATTTTCCACCTTATGTTTGCAGACGACTTAGTCCTCTTCGGGGAAGCAAACCTTGAACAACTGGGGGTGATGATGGACTGCCTTAAGGAATTCTGTGACATGTCTGGCCAACTAGTGAGTATTGAAAATTCAATGATCTATTTCTCTAAGAACACTCCTCTGGCAGCTAAAGAAGAAATCTCCAGAACTAGTGGTTTCTTGGCTGCCAGCTCATTAGGAAAGTATCTGGGATCAATGTTGTATCATGGGCGGGGGCGTAGAAGAAACTATGCTGGTGTTCTGGATAGGGTCAAAATGAGATTGTCCAAGTGGAAGAGTCATCTCCTCTCATTCGCAGGAAGAGTTACCCTAGCCAATTCAGTGCTTAGCGCTATCCCAGTGTATCACATGCAACATGGTGATCTTCCTATAATCGTATGCAAGAAAATTGAAAAAATCCATTGTTCCTTTATATGGGGAGACTTAAGAGAGAAGAAGAAAGCGCATCTCATAGTGTGGGACGCGTTGTGCAAACCTAGACAGGTGGGTGGACTGGGAATTCATAATTTGAAAGTCCATAATGTTGCCTTTATGCACAAGCTCTCCTGGAGACTGTTAAATAATAAGGACTCACTATGGGCACAAGTTCTCCGAGGCAAATACGAAAGAAACACAGACCTTAGAAGACAGGTTAGAGTTCAATCGTATGACTCTTCCTTATGGAAAGGGGTGGGCAGCGTGTGGAATGATTTCTTGAACATCATGTACTGGGATGTGGGTAATGGGAAAGACATCCTCTTCTGGGATGACGTTTGGACACACCTAGAGAGACCCCTATCTGAGTATTCTTTGGAAGATTCGATGCTTATTGATTACGACACCAGAGTGGTAGAGCTGAGAAATCACATCACAGGTGAGTGGGACATGGAGCTCCTGAAACTGATGGTTCCGATTGAGGTCTTGAATCACATCAAGGCTATTCTTCCTCCTTCAGAAGACAGGGGAGCAGACAACCTGATTGGGGGGAACCTGGGTTCCCAAAAGAACGTGGTGAAGCTAGCTTACAATCGTTTGATGAACTTGGATTCCATGGAGGTAGACCCCACTTGGCAGGTAATCTGGAATTGGAAGGGACCCCAAAGAATTCGTTGTTCGCTTGGATGGTCTACCATGGACGAATCCTTACAAAGGAGCATACAGCAAAATGGAGTGGATCTCCTCTCTGCCATGTCTGCATCTCCAAAGTTGAGAGTATCTCCCATGTGCTCAGAGATTGTAGCAAGGCTGCTTCGGTCTGGCTGAAATGGTTTGCAGGTAAGCCCCACTCTGATTTTTTCTCTCTGGCTACCAATGATTGGATCACGAAAAACCTGAGGAAATGATGGTCTACTTGTTAGCTATTGGACTGGAAAGACATTTTCATTACCACTACCTGGTTCCTTTGGAGATGACACAATAATGAAATTTATGATCCCACCTTCACGAGACCAGCCAACCCAATTCTGGTGATCTCAGCATATATTAGAGACATTAGAGCAAGTCTGCTGAATCGTAACCAAGTACAGGCTCACCCTCAAGCCAGAACATGTGTGAATTGGACTCCCCCCCCCCCACGGATGGTGGAAACTTAACGTGGACGCTGCTGTCAAGTAAGGATCTGCCATGGCAGCATGTGGAGGGCTCATAAGAGATCAATATGGCTGCTGGGTCTCAAGTTTTTTGTACAAAGTTGGCAGTTGCTCCCCCTTGATAGCAGAACTTTTGGCTATCTTAAGAGGTATACAAATGGCGTGGGATTGTCATGCTCATTGTCTGATAGTGGAGAGCGATTGCCTAACTGCCATCCAAGAAATTAACCGGGAAGATGGAGTTAGATTACAACATCAACTCATCAATAGCATCAAGAGCTGGGCTAACAGAGACTGGTCTTTAACTTTCAGCCACGTAAATAGGAAATGTAATGCAGGTGCAGATTGCCTTGCAAAGTTAGCATTCACTGCTAGGGAGGCCTTTCGTTTTACTTTCCACCCCTCCCCCTGTTCTGGATCATATTTTGGATTCAGATATCTCCTGCTATAGTTTCTTTTGGGCCTTTGCCCCTTTATAATACTAAAAAAAAAAGGAGAAGTATTTTTACAGTCACCAAGTTATCTCTAGTAAGTTCAAAACAACGTCGTTTTGATATTATAAGATTAAAAAATTATAGTAATGAAGACTAATATAATCCTATAATATATTAAAATGATTCACCGGAGATAACTTATCTCTATTGACTTGACATAAAAGAATAATATAAACTATTAAAATGACCCTCACTCAACACCTTAAGATTTTGGGTTGAAATGGTTCTTTACATGGTATCAAAACTTCAGTGACCACAAGGTCATCGATCCTTACTGTCCTTCACTTGTGGAATTAAATAAGCATAAGGTAAATCAAAAATTGGGTCTATACAATAATCCACGCTTCAATAAAAGATTATCACACAACACTTTAAGATGATTTTGGGTTGAAGTGATTTTTTAGCAATGAACACAACATATTACTACAATAAAAGAGAAGCTATAATCTTATGGTATTGTGAAAGTAAATTAATAAAAATTGATATCTAAGATAATGATAGTTTGTAACAAAATATACAATTAGGATTTAGGAAGTATGACTGAAACAACCAGTTCTTCCCGCAGCCACCATAGGCGTGTAAAGATTTCTCTAGATGGACTCGATAGGAGTGTGTCTACATATAGTTCTAGTTAGCTTATTTTTTTTTGGCTTCCTCATTTCCCAAAAAAGCACTTTAAAAATTTGGATAAGTTATTTTATATATTTTTTATGTCAACCTTATCTAAATTATTAGATCAGAATCTCCACTAATTTTATTATTTTTCTCTCTTTTTAAGATTTTGATAAAACAAAGGTAAGCATGAAAAAAGTAAATAGAAATGTAAAATAACCTATCACCTGGAAATTTCTTCTCTCAAGAAGTGGTTATTTTTTAATACGTAAGTTATGGATTTCCATTGAATTATTTCAAAGATGCATTCTTTTGGATTAACTAGATCACTAAGAGTTTACCAAAAAAAAAAAAAAAAAGATAACTAAGAAGAATTTCAAGTACTGATATCTTTGCGTAAAAGCAAAAGACTCAATTGGGGTCGGGATCAACTTTATTCATATAAGAATAAAAAAATTTATTATTTATTTTTAAGTGTTGATCTATTTTTATTCGACATAATTAAAAAATTATACTCGGTAAATATAAGTCGAAATAACAATTAAGATTAAAGGTATATTTTAGACTGATATAACTCACAAACATGACATTCATAATAGACAACGAGTTGAAAAAAGAATGCTAGAAAGGATATTACTAACCTTTCTTATATAATAAAACTAGGGACAGACATTTTAGTTAAAACTTCCATTTTTTATTTAATATTTAAATTTTTTTTAAAAAAACTCTCACTTTTTTCTTTATGATTTGTTTCTCTTATTATAAAATACAATAGTCTCATTTAAAATGACATAATTTTAATCCCATTAAACTATTATATAAGTTTTGCATATAATTTTTTTAGAAAAGAAAAACCAAAATATAGCTTTTTTGGTGGGAGGGGGTTGCATGACAATACAGAATTTTGAATAGAGTTATAGAGAAATAATTATATCATGTTGTATGAAATAATTATCTCATATATCTCATGCATTAAAGACAAAATAGTGAAGTTTATTATTTTTTTTAAATAATAGACCTCACTATCGTATCTTATACAATATGAGATAAATTATACAACATGAGATAAATATATGTCATAGTTATGTATCGAAAATATCACTTTGCTTTCCTCCTCTCAAGTCTTATCCTCTGCGATAACTGTTTTCTTCTTTCTTGAGTGTCGAGTAAACCAACCAGTCAACCACTAATGTAGCCTGTCTTTGTTAAGGACTGGTCTTCCAGTTCAGTCATTTAAAGTTGGGCCCAACCCATTGTAAGTAAGATAATATAACAAACTAGAATATAACTCGTGTACAGATATGGAAAAAAAGAAAAAAAGAAGAAGAAAATATTACTTCTATCTTTTTGGTATCATTTCTTGCAAACTTGAATGGTTAAAAACTTCCATGAAGCATTTTGGTTAAATGTTTGATGCAGACACAACCCCACAATGTCAGCTGAAAATTGCGACTTCCAAGTTTAAACATTTAACAAACCATTTTCAACACTAACCTGTCCAATTAATTACGACAGTACACAAGTATCTATATCGTTAATACATATATAGTTCATGCATCCATGATAAACACACAATTAAACATAGTAGATGAGTTTGAATTTATCAGTTAAATAAAGTACAATTTTTCTTTTCTTTTCCTTTTTTGATACAGAATAACTTGCATACAAGGGTACTGTGACTACCATATCAATAATATACAATTCCAACATGTCTATATTAGGAACTAATCTAAACTTCCGCTTACAAGATTGGCTACAGAGCCACCTGCGTTAAGGAATATTAAATATCGTGTGGATGATTTTGACAAAGTTGAAAAGGTTTTGGTGGCTAGGGATGAGGGACTGAGAGCTGAGATTGGGCCACTGCTACAGAAGATTGAGATGGAGAGAACTGATGAAGAGAGAGGAACTGTGTGAGAGAGGCAAAAAAGTGCAGGAAAGTTATGAAACATTACTGAAGGAAGTGAATATCCCTTGGCAAAGAAAGAGGGTAATCCAGGATTTTTCCCAAAAAAAGAAAAGAAAAGAAATTTTAACTATCTGCCTAAGTTTAACTTTTTTTTTTTTTTTTGGTTACCTTAACTTTTCTTTTTACATGTAATACCACAGGAACTTAATGGAAGATTATCGATGTTTAATAAGTCAATAGAGGAACTGGAAAGGAAACTTTCTTTTGACCATTTCAATCCTCTGTGCTTCCGTAAATATGCTTTTCTGCTGGGCTGGATCTGATGAACTTGGATGCTCATCCTTGACATTAATTTGAGAAATAGCCTTCTTTCCATGCAATCCCGGCAACATATACCTGTTGTCATCATCATCATCATCAAGGTCTATCAACTCAATAACATTTTCCGATACCAATCTTCCCCCATCTGGCACAAAAGAGATATGTGAAGCTTACATAACATTACATTTGCCAGCACAATAACTCAAGCAAAAGCTTGAAAAAGATAGAATAGTAGATTCTGTAATCCAAATAAAATATTGGTAGCTGCCTGCCTCATCATTCATGGATAATCCAGCCTCTGGCTCTTCTAATTGACAATATATGCTTTCATTAAATTCAAACAGTTTTCTAAGAGAACAGAAATATAAAACGAGAACAGAAATCAAAAGAAAACCTCAACAGTTACAAGTTAAAATTAGGGTCCTCAAATCTGACAAAATACCCACAACCAGGACTCTACAAATTAAACCATGAGCTGAACATCATAGGGAGACAATAGGAACGATGTTCTATTTGTCGTAAGATAACAAAGGAAAATCAATATTAGGCTTCTTTGCACGAGTAGACATCTTATGCTAAATTAGGGGTAAACTAGTGATATAAAGCTCCTGCTATGTCTTGTATTGCAGGGCAAATTTTGATGTGCGGATCAATTGTAGGCAGCCTTACTTTGTGTAGAAAATTAGAATTCAAACATGTTTCCGTTTTTATTTCCTATTAATTAGGATTGATTAGGATTGATTATGATTGATTAGGATTAATTGTGATTGATTAGAATTGATTGTGATTAGGATTGTGATAGGATTGATTAGTCATCGCTTAGTCATTCTTAGCGATTCTTTCTTGTATAAATACTCACTCATGTAATTTATTCAATATCAATATACAAAAACTTCTTTTCAATATGGTATCAGAGCGGGTTCGTTCCTACCCTAATTCAAATCTGAAATAACCATCCAAACACTTCCATCACCGTCAAACACCTCCTAAACACCGCCTTGAATCTGTCCAACACAGAAACCTAGTTTACTGACCTCCGATCAAAAAAAGTGAGGTGACCATTCGACTCAGAAGGATCCGACGAGTCGACCGCCGCTGGACCCATCGCCGTCAGCCGCTGCACGCGCCACCACGCGCCGCCTTCCAGACGTTTTTTTTCCGTCGCGACTTGCACAGACCTTCTCGCCGGCTTCTCCCCTTCCTGTTCCAGAGGTCAGATCAAAAGTTTACAAAACTTGATTTTTCATCAACGGTCAACCCTTCTCTTTTTATTCATGGCTTCCTCAAAACACTCTTTTTATTACCACGAGCAACCTCCTAAGGCCACTAGTCATGTGGTCCAGCAAGGTACAACTTTCCATGTTGATAGTCAAAATCATTGGATCCTTGATTCTGGAGCCTCTGATCATATGACAGGTAATCTTGGCTTGTTTTGTTCATACACTCCATATTCTGAACCTTCTCGGGTCAAGATCGCCGATGGCAGTTTTTCCCAGATTGCGGGACACGGAACCATTAAACTTTCTGAGCTGATTACTTTGACATCAGTTCTTTATGTTCCTTCTCTGACTTGTAATCTCATTTCCATTAGCAAGCTCACCTCTGAGTTGCATTGCTTTGCTAAATTCTTTCCACATGGTTGTGTTTTTCAGGAACAGGACTCGGAGAGGATGATTGGCAGTGCTAGAGAGGATGGTGGACTTTACTACTTTGAGGAGGATGTGACTCATGAAGCTGTTTTCGTAGAAAAAAACTCTATGTTTCCTTTTGATTCATGTAATGATGTTATGCTGTGGCATCGTAGGCTAGGCCATCCAAATTTTATTTATCTTCAGAAGTTGTTGCCAAACTTATTTATTAATAAAAGTCCAAGTTTGTTTTCTTGTGATATTTGTCAACTTGCCAAGCATACTCGTGCTCATTATCCTTCTAAAGTTCACCATGACTCTTCCCCATTTTCCTTAATTCATAGCGACATATGGGGTCCAGCCCGTGTTAAAAATATTTCAGGTACTCGATGGTTCATTACCTTCATTGATGACCATTCTCGAGTTTGTTGGGTGTATCTTCTAAAGGATAAGTCCGATGCTGCATCCGTGTTTAAAAAATTTCATGCCATGGTTCAAACCCAATTCCAAGTTGCTATACAAATTCTTCGTACAGATAATGGCAAAGAGTATTTTAACTCTATTCTTGGAGAATATCTTTCCCAACATGGCATCCTTCACCAAAGCTCGTGTCCTGACACACCCCAACAAAACGGAATTGCGGAAAGAAAAAACCGACATCTCCTTGAAGTTGCTCGGGCTCTTATGTTTACCACGAGTGTTCCTAAATATCTTTGGGGAGAGGCAGTTCTCACTGCCTCGTATCTGATAAATCGAATGCCATCTCGCATTCTGAAATTTCAGTCTCCTCTTTCTAGTCTTGTTCGTATCTTCCCTTCCTTCCGAGGTGTCTCCTCCTTACCTCTCAAGTTATTTGGTTGTGTTGTATTTGTCCATATTCCCTCCCATCAACGGTCTAAGCTTGATCCTAAGTCTCTCCAGTGTGTCTTTATTGGTTATTCTCCTACTCAACGTGGCTATAAGTGTTATTCACCCTCTCTTCGTAAGGTCTTTGTCTCTATGGATGTCACTTTTTCTGAGAATGACCCTTTCTTCCCCTCGACTTCTCTTCAGGGGGAGTCTATAGGAGTAGATGAAGATCAGTCATGGGAACCTATTAATGCCACAGTATTACCTCTACTTTTGGAAACAGGGGGAGCTACAGAATCCTCACCATCAGGAGCCTCCTCAAAATGGGGACAAGATTATAGCAGGCGAAAGCCTCCTCAAAGTGTGAATAACCCAGAGCCTCTACACTGCCAGGATTCTGAACCATGTTCTAGTTCCAGCACCCCAATACTTGAGTGTCATGGTAAAAATGATCTACACTTGCCCATTGCTCTCAGAAAAGGTACTCGATCTTGTACTACTCATCCTATTTCTAATCATATTTCATATGGAAAGTTGTCCCCAGGGTTTCGTGCTTTCAATACTATGTTGGATAGTACAAAGATACCGAGAAATATACATGAGGCTCTCAATGATAAAAAATGGAGGGATGCTGTCTTTAAAGAAATGAATGCTTTAGAAAGAAATGGAACTTGGGAGATAGTGACCCTACCCAAAGGAAAAAAGGCAGTAGGATGCAAATGGGTGTTTACAATAAAATTCAATGCAGATAATAGCATCAACAGATACAAGGCAAGATTGGTTGCAAAGGGTTTCACTCAGACTCATGGGATAGATTATCATGAGACTTTTGCTCCGGTTGCTAAAGTCAATACCATCCGAGTTCTCTTATCTCTTGCTGCCAATCTAGATTGGCCTCTGCAACAGTTAGATGTGAAGAATGCATTCCTAAATGGTGACTTACATGAAGAAGTCTATATGGATCCTCCACCTGGTTTTGAAAGGGGAAATGAATCAGTGTGTAAACTAAAAAAGTCTCTATATGGATTGAAACAGTCTCCTAGAGAATGGTTCGACAAATTCACACAAGCAGTCAAAAGAAGAGGCTTCATTCAAGCACAGACTGATCATACTCTCTTCCACAAACACTCTAAGGATGGTAAAATTGCTATTCTTATTGTATATGTAGATGATATAATTCTTACAGGTGATGATATTGAGGAATTGAACACCTTGAAGAAATTTCTAGCAGCTCAATTTGAACTCAAAGACCTTGGCACTCTAATATTTCCTTGGTATGGAAGTTGCTAGGAGCAAAACAGGCATCACTCTAACACAAAAGAAATATGTTCTAGATCTTTTGTTGGAAACAGGAATGTTAGGGTGTAAACCTGCTGAGACACCTGTGGAACCTAATACCAAGTTAGGTATTGAAGATGGGAATGAGGTGGATAAAGAACAATATCAGCGATTGGTTGGTAAACTAATCTACTTATCTCATACGCGTCCTGACATTGCCTTTGCGGTGAGTATGATTAGTCAATTCATGCACTCACCCAAGGAGAAGCATCTTAGTGCAGTCTATAGGGTGCTTAGATACCTCAAGAATACTCCAGGAAGAGGATTATTCTTTAAAAAGGGGTATAAAAGGACAATTGAAATCTACACTGATGCAGATTGGGCAGGCTCATCAGTAGACAGAAGATCTACCTCAGGCTATTGCACCTATGTGTGGGGAAATCTTGTTACTTGGAGAAGCAAAAAGCAAACAGTGGTTGCAAGAGTAGTGCTGAAGCAGAATTTCGAGCTTTAGCTCATGGAGTTTGTGAAGGAATCTGGTTGAGAAGACTTCTTCAAGAGTTGAAGATTTCATATTCCCTACCAATAAAACTATATTGTGACAACAAGGCAGCTGTTAGCATTGCTCAAAATCCTGTGCATCATGATCGAACAAAGCACGTGGAAGTTGATCGTCACTTCATCAAAGAAAAATTAGATGATGGAAGTGTGCATTTGATATATGTTCCAACCAAAGAGCAAACGGCAGATGTCCTTACCAAGGGCCTACACCGTCCAGCATTCGAAGACTTGATTGGCAAGTTGGGAATGATCAATATTTACCTCCCAACTTGAGAGGGAGTGTAGAAAATTAGAATTCAAACATGTTTCCGTTTTTATTTCCTATTAATTAGGATTGATTATGATTGATTAGGATTGATTATGATTGATTAGGATTAATTGTGATTGATTAGAATTGATTGTGATTAGGATTGTGATAGGATTGATTAGTCATCGCTTAGTCATTCTTAGCGATTCTTTCTTGTATAAATACTCACTCATGTAATTTATTCAATATCAATATACAAAAACTTCTTTTCAATACTTTGCATTTGCAAGTAGACAGCTTAGGCTACTTTCCAGATTTATAAATTTGTTGCGTAAACTTGGTCGTTCCAACTTCAAACTTTTGGGAAATTCTATGACATTTTCATTTTGAAAATAAGAATGGATGATGTGATGAGTTCATGGTCTCAAATTGTGACTAATTATAGTTGCATAATCATTCAATCACCTAAGAAACCAGTTAGGCTAAGAACTAGTAGCCTCACTGTTAGGACCCTTGACAAATCATAGAAAAATTGTCTGCGAATTACCGATAGATTATTAAAAGGGATTACAGGACTGTTAGAGGACAATATAACAAGAGTTTTTCCTCCTAGTCACTCCTATCTCTGTTAACAAAGGAACTTAAGCAGAAGATTACAAAATCGAAATAAAGGGACTGGCCATGTGTTGTGGCCTAACACTCAACAGTTCAACTAAGTTATTAAAACATTGCTCTCTACCATAGTCATTACCTACACATTGCCTTAATAAAGCAGGAAACATCACGGTTCCAACTACCCAAAAATCTGACCAAAGTTCATTCATCTGATCACTTCTATCTAATTCAATATTTCTAAGGTAACATTCAAAAAATGCATATCTGCATGCAGAATTTCCATACCTGATGCACCTAGAGCATCTTTCTTTGCTTTGCTTGGGAACTGAGTAGTGCCAGCACCAAGAGAGTGGGGAGTATCGTCATTTCTTTGCAAAGGAGCAGGGCCCCCAGTGTCAATTCCAAACTCGTAGCCATTAACATCCATTTCATTCAACTCTTCATCCTCTTTATCTATGACTTGAAAAGTAACCTTAGGATCAGCTGGAGGCTCCCCCTTATTGTTTCCACGACTAGAGGCATCTGCACTCATTAAAAGCTTTGTATCAACCTCCAATCTCACAACCCTACGATTCAGTTCACCAAATTTCCTCACCAAAGACTCAACCAATGCCTTAAGCCTAAGCTTCTCATCTTCTAATTTGTGGTTTTCAGTTCTCAACTCTTCAAGGGTTGCCAAATTCTTCTTCACTCCTTCCAATTCATTGTTTTTTATCTTAAGTGCAGCCAAAACATTCTTGTCATCTAGCTTCTCATCCTCCAACTCACGGACTCTGATCCTAAGCTTATGCAAAGCATTGCTATCTTCCACCCATTTTGTCTTCAACTCCTTCAGCTTGGAATTTTCACACTCTAATTCAAGGTTCTTATTCTTTAGCTCTTCAATAGTTTTTTTATCAACCAATCCATTTGTCTTCACTTCCTTCAGCAATGTTTCATAACTCTCCTGCACTTTCTTGCCCCTCTCACACAGTTCCTCTCTCTTCATCAGTTCTTCTTGAACTTGAATCCTCTCCAGCCTCTCCATCTCAATCTTATGTAGGAGTGGCCCAATCTCATCTCTGAGTCTCTCATCCCTAGCCACCAAAACCTTTTCGACTCTGTCAAAATCATCCACAAGATACGCAGCACGCAATACTGAGATGAGTTCAGTAATGCTCTTCTCCTCAAAGTTTCCATGGCTGCTCGATGCCACAGACGGTGACCCAGGTTCTGTTTTGGGTCGAGAGTTCATGAAAAACCTAGAAAGGTACAAACTTTGGAAGAAAAGAGCGGAGGAAACAATGGGTTTGGAAAAAGTCACCGGCTTTTGATCATAAGATAACGAGAAAAAGAGGCTTGTTCCTAAGCAGAAGAGAGAGAGAAAAAACTGAAAAGGGTTTATGTGAAATGAAGCAAGGTACACATGTAGAGAGAGAAAGACAGAGAGAGAGACATAGATGGAGATGAAAATGGCGCCTAAAACAGAAGAAATGAAGAAAGATCAGCGACTCTGTAGTTCTTCACACCTTTCGTCTTCCTCTTACCGTGTCTGAATAATTTTTTTTTTTTTTTTTTAAGTATAGGTGTCTGAATAAATTTTAACTACATGCCTTTATTAGTTCATTTACTTTTTAATGACTTTTTCTAATTCAAGTTAAATCCCAGATCCACTGCAAATAGGTTCATGCCTCCCATGTTGCCTTTTTTTTTTTCATGAGAGGTTATAATTAGTACTTTTTTCTTATTACTTGTTACTACTAAATTTTAATCATTGATTTTCGTTAATTTAACGGTTATAATTTACTAAAATTAATAATTAATTCATAAATATGATCCAATAAATTATAACCGTTAGATTGACGAAAATCAACGGTTAAAATTTAGTATTAACAAGTAGTAAGAAAAAAAAGCTATAATTATAACCTTTTCCCATTAATAATACATTGTGTTTTGGAAAGTAAATTTTTTAAAATATACTATTTTTTTTTTAAGATCCCAAAATACCATCGTAATACGAGGAGATAACTTTATCTAGAAACACTTTTTCCTTAAAATAATTATCATATTAGAATTTTAAATCTTGTCAAGTAAAATATTCACATACTTCTTTTTTAAGTTTCTTTTTCACAGCCACTAAAAAACACACTAGCCATTTCAACTTCTTTTAAAAAAAGAGAGGATGACACATCAATTATTCATAAAATAAGGGCTTGATGAGGTATTATTATGGCCAATGTCTGACAGGGAGTACACACAAAAGTTTCTACAATTTGGCCTTAAGCCCTTAACTCGTAGCTGAGTGATAAATGATAGGAATCAACTGCAAATCCTGTTTTCTTTTTACTGACAAGCCAAAGGATTCGGTCATATCAAGCTCTTCAGGCATGTCTCCTTTTGCCATCTTCCAATCAAAATGGAAAAGCAAATTTGCAAGTGAAATTTCAACATTAACAATGCCAAATGTGATGCCAGGGCAAATCCTTCTTCCAGCACCAAATGGGATAAATTGAAATTCTGCACCTTTGTAATCAATTGAGCTATCAAGGAACCTTTCTGGATAAAATTTCTCAGCTTCAATCCAATAGTTAGGATCCCTCCCAATTGTCCATGCATTAACAATGACCTTGCTCTTGGGTGGTATCTCATACCTATTAATCTCACATCTTTCACTGCATTCCCTTGGAAGCAACAATGCAATAGGTGGATGTAGACGCAAGGTTTCTTTGATAACTGATCTCAAGTATTTCAGTTCATGAATACTTGTTTCTTCCACATATCCTTTCCCATCAAATACTCTTCTTACCTCCATTTGTGCTTTCTCCATCACCCTTGGGTTTTTCACCAGTTCTGACATTGCCCAATCGATTGTTGTTGATGAAGTGTCACTTCCAGCACTGAAAATGTCCTGAAAGATATCTTGGGGCATTACATTATGTAAAATAATCACCAAGAGTTTATAATATCCCTAACCTAATTAATTAGCAAATTACATGTAGTTAAATAATTAAGCATGTTTTAGTGAGTAAAATTAAGTATAAGGCTTAATGAAATGAATCTGAGTCACTTTGGAGTTAAAAAGCGTACTCAGTGAAAATTAAGGGGTATAAATGGATACTGGCGAAAGTGCCCAAAATATAAAAATAAAATTATAAATATTCTTAGAATAAAATTCCAGACTTTTGGGTAAATTTTGGTAATTAATGGAGTTGAATAGATAGGCGAACTAATACCCACATGTTACCACTTAACCTATGTTAAGTGATAAAGTAACTAAAGGAACCCAATTTCCTCCCCAAACCCGTCGACGCCAGAAAATAGAGAAGAAGAAGAAGAAGAAAAAGAAGAAGAAAGGGAGAGAGAAGAAGAGGGAGAGGAGGGAGCAAATCCCAACCGTTTTGGGTGATTCAAAAGCCTAAATCACTCTAAATCTTTCCCTCTTTCATAATCCTAGCTTAGTTTTGAGTGGGGAGCATTGTGGAGAGAGATATTGCCTCTCAAAAATTCGGCCCTTTGTGAGATTTTGGGGTTTTGGGAATTTCTACCTCCATGGGAGCTTGAGGAGCGCTCCTTGCTTGGTTGTGCAACCATTGGTGGTAAGATTCTACCCCTTGAACCTTATTTTCATGGAAAATTGCATGAGTTAGGGTTTATGAATAGTGTTTTAGGGTTTTTGATGAAATGTTGTTAAATTAGCTATGTTCTAGGAAGAATGGAGCTTAGAGCATGTTGTGAAAAATGCTAGGAACGACATTTATTCGGTGAAAATGAGCTTAGATAGCTAAGTGAGTATATTTGGAAAATGGCAAGAATATGACACTTAGAGATTAGATTTCTTGCTTTGTAATAAATGGTTTGGTTGGTTGTTGATTATGCCTTGGTGTTGTCTAGGATTGAGGCAATTGGACCAACCTTGAGAGACCAACCATTGGAGCAAGCTATGGAGCTTGATTAGCTCCATTGGATAGGTAAGTTCATGCTTATGTTTGATATGAATTGTATAGCTTGGTTGATAGCTATGAGATGTGATTGGATGCAATATGTGTTAATTGCATAAAACCTTGTGTAGGTTTTGTTTGGTGAGTGGATAATTGTAACTGGTTGCAGAAACTGTTGGTGGGAACAAAGGTTGGCTAAAGCTTGAGGTAAGCCTTCGGACCTTGGGTGTAATTCCCTTGACTGTTCTACCAAGCCCTGAAAGGGTAGAGGTTGTGATTGTGTATATAAATGCAATAAAATAGTGTAATGCTTTGTTATACGTATGTGTATGCATTTGGTGTGGCATAGGATGGTGTTTCCCTATGTTGGTATGTTGCATGACGATGCGTAAATCATACTTGGTAGTTAGCTGGCCAGTAGGACTATTTGCATCTGAGTTTCCTTAGGACAGCTTGAGAGCTCGAGGGATTTCTCCTGGAGATGTGTTGCACTTTGCATAGATATGTATTTACTGCATTATTATTGTTATTGCTATTACACTGATATGGAACTGTGGGGTGGAGAGATGCTCCAAGGACCCCTGGTTTACTGGATATATTCGTATATCTCACCCCGTGTTGTGGGGACCCCCTTTCAGGTAAGGATGCTGCAGGAGCCTCTGGTGGCAAGTGGCCATATCTGGATTATGCATGAAATGTGGCATTTCTTTTGAGATTGTACATGTTGTTTTGTAGCTCACATGTATAGGATTGTAATTCATAGACCATTGATAGATGTATGAATTGTATATTGGAATGGACTTAGCCTATGCTCATGCCTTTGGTCATCTCTTTTGTTGATGAGAGCCAAGGGAATGATCATAGTGTTTTGTTAGCTAAGTTCCATGAATTGTAATGAACATGATGTGTAATTGATGAGTACTTTGAGTTTAATATATGTATGTTCATTAAGTATTGGATTGTTGAACTGGAAACTAAATTAGGTACCTAGTGCTAAATTGGGAAATGTTGAGAAAACAAATACATCCTGTCCGTTTGACCAATTTTCATACCCAATGTGATGGAATTGGAATTTGATGTCTCTATGGAAGTGGTAGACATTCCTCTTAGCTTTCCATAGAGACCAAAATGGTGTAATTTGAGTGAGTATAGCTCAAATTATGAGTGGAAAACCATAGGTAGGCTAAATGACCTTGTTTTGGGTCACCCAGCCCTGTGGATGGCGCCTGGGGCGCCCAATTCACGCTTGGGGCGCCAAATTACGAGATCAGACAGTAGCATCCACGCTTGGGGCGCCAGATTCACGCTTGGGGCGCCAACTTTCTGTTTTCCCACGCTCCGAGCGTGGATCTCACGCTGCGGGCGCGGGGGTTCTGGAGGTTTCACACCCTTTTCTTAGAAAATGCATAACTTTGGCTACGGTGCTCCGATTTGAGCGCGGTTTGAACCCACGCGTAGCTAATGAAGAATCCTATAACATAGTAGAAGATGGGAATCATAAAAGGAGTTTAGAATTAATTTGATAATTAAAGTGATGAAGACATTTAACGATGTATTGTCAAGTAGAATGGGAATATAATATTAAGTTTAGTCCCACTATTCCGCGAAGTATATATAGTTATGATCACGCACTTGGTTATTTAAATCCGGCTTGTTTAAAAAGGAAAAATTTATCCGGTTTTCTAATTGAACCAATGTGATTGTAACTGCGCTTAATGTCGTACGCAATGATAACAATCCGGTTCTAGAACGGGGTGTTACATTTTATGGTATCAAAGCAGTTTCGTAGGGAATAACTGTTAGCTATTGTTGAGTATGCTTAGTGTTTGATGCTTTATAGTTGTTTTGGTACTCTTTATGATTATTGCACTTGTGATCACTAAGTATGAGCCTGATCAACTCATTTCTGTGTGTAACATGTGTAGTGACATGACGAGGAACCGGAATAACCCTGAAACATCGAATGTCAATGCTCAGCCAGACACTGTTTTGGCTGCTCTTGTGAGGCCTAGAAGTGGCCGTGGGGCAACGGGCGTACAGCCTGATCCCGTGGCTGAAGCTCTTGCAGCCGTTCAGAGGGAGTTGGCTGCTAGCAGGCAAGCCAATGAGAATCTAATGAAAACAAATGAAGACTCGCGGACTGCCATGGCCGCAATGATGACCGAGTTAAGGACGTTGAGGGGTGCCAGACCTGCAAACCGGCAACCCACTCCTCCTCCTCACACTGCCACGCCTTCTCCACCTCTTTTACAAGAAGAGGGTGTAATGGGTAACAATGAGGGTGAGGGTAGTCACCATACTGATAGTCATAGTCAACATGTTGAGGTTTGTCAACCACGTGTTGAGCATTTTGCTGAACATGGAACTGAAGAAAGGAGACTGACGACCTTTCGAAAACACAAACCACCTTCCTTTAAGGGAGGCTATGAACCAACGACGGCAGCAAAATGGCTCCAGGCAATGGAGAAGATCTTCAGGATGATGAGATGCCCTGATGCAATGAAGTTGGTCTACTCCGTGTATATGCTGGAAGAGGAAGCTGAGGATTGGTGGACCAATACAGTGCAGCCCTTAGAAGCTGAAGGCCGGGAAATCACCTGGCGGTTGTTCGAGACGTTATTCTTGGACAACTACTTCCCTAGGGAGGCTAGGGAGCAGAAGCAGAACGAGTACAATGATCTAAAGCAAGGGTCGATGTCAATTGACCAATATTTTGCTAAATTCAACGAATTGGTGAAATATGCTAATTATGGGAGAGCCTTACTTACTCCGGCCGAGATGACCTCTAAATTTCAATGGGGTCTGAATGAGAAAATGTCTCGGAAGATGTCTAATTGTGATATCCGAGAGTTTAGCAAGTTTGTGAACCAATGCCGGAGAGTAGAAGAAGTTTATAATGTGGTAAAGAGCAAGAAGTCTTCTGGGACACAAGCGTCAGGTGCTAGTGGAGCAACTGACTCTACTTTAGAAAAGAATAAGAAAATAGATGACAAGAATGGAAAGAAGAAATTGCAAGCGAAGCAATCTGATGATAAATTTAAGAGAAAAGGAAACCAAGGAGAGACAGTTGTGAGTGAATTCCCCCTGTCTAAATGTGACACCTGCGGGAAGACACATAGAGGCACATGTTGGTACGAAACAAAGTCGTGCTTCAAATGTGGCCAACTGGGTTACTTTGCTAATGTATGTCCTACTAGGACTGATCGGATTTCAAATGTACACGCAATTGTTGGATCTCGAGTAGGAGGTCAAGATTATACCTTAGAGCCACATGATGGGGAGGAAACTCTCAGGCAAGTTGAAGGTATGATTTGAAAATTTCTTTCTTGTGAATTGTCCACCCAGTGTAATGATGATAGACATGTTGTTGCATAAAGTGTAATGCATGCATGTGAGTGATGTATTCTTGATGATGCATGCAATGTCTGTGAGAGTGAACATTGTGTTGAATTGACAGATTTGACGTTAGTCTGATCAAGTGGAGCGTAGGCTCTATAACCACAAAAGTTAAAGTTAACAAAAGAATTAATGAAATGGAAAGCTAGAATTATGAACCAAACTGTAAACCTCTAGGTTTAGCTTACGGCTAAAAACCATTAGGAGGTGAAGGTATAACAAAGAAAAGTAGTCTGATAACATGCATAGTTATGCCTGATTGTATGTTAATGTATTGAGGCAAAGAATAAAAGACTATTGCATGAGGGTGTGAAAATGATTGTTCTTGTGAGTTTATGTTATATGAAATTGCATTTAAGATGGATGTGAATTATTAGCGAAGAAATTCTCTAAATAGGAGAATAAGTGGATACGGGGCTTTCTTAATGGAATAATTCCTAAGAGCAGTGACTCTTGGAAGCACCCAGATAAAAATTTGTTTTTAAAAAGGAATAATTCCTTAAAAAGTAAGTCATGAAGTGAGAGTGAAGATGGTATGGTTAGTGAAAGGGCTAATGTACCATTGAATGATGAAAACATGTCATCAGTGAAAGGACTGATATATGTGAAATCAGTGAAAGGACTGATAAAATCATCAGTGAAAGGACTGGTGTGCCATGTCAGTGAAAGGACTGATAAAATCATCAGTGAAAGGACTGGTGTGCCATGTCAGTGAAAGGATTGATATATGTGAAATCAGTGAAAGGACTGATAAAATCATCAGTGAAAGGACTGGTGTGCCATGTCAGTGAAAGGACTGATATGTGAAATCAGTGAAAGGACTGATAAAATCATCAGTGGAAGGACTGATGTGCATGCTAGTGAAAGGATTGGTGCACGATATTAGTGAAAGGACTAATATCTAATTAAAAGTTTAGGTAAGGATTGTATTATCAGTGTAAAGACTGATAGGGTCATCGGTGAAAGGACTGATGGTCTATTATAAATGTAGTTGGTATTATCAGTGGAAAGACTGATGCACTGATGTTTCAATGGAATGGTATCATCAGTGACAAAACTGATGTACAATTAAATAGGATAGGATATTATCAGTGAGAAGGCTGATGTACTAAAGCACATGTGGACAGTAATATTAGAAAAATGACTAATATTAGATCGAAAACTTAGAAAGGGTTCAAAGTTGTAATGAAAAGACTAGTTCACGAAATAGAAAATTTTGTGAGATTTATTATAAACAGCCTTGTAATGATAGGACATGAGAAAAAAGAAAGGAAAAAAAACCTGGTGTTAATAGACAGGTGAGATAAGAGGTAAGGGGTGATAATGGATCATTGAGAAAATAGTCTCTAAAAGGCTGTGTGCCTAACGAAAGGGTTAGCACACAATATGGAGATTGGTGATGATCTTAGGATTGTCTTAAAGATGAGGAGTTTGAAAGTAACATTATTAAAATTGAATAAATGTTGATGAGGTAAGACCATGATGTTTTATGGTTTCGTACCAGAACGAAGGATATAGACCTGGTAGGGATAAAATAACTAGGCTTGAGGAGATTGAGCACTACTTATAAGCTCAAAGGCTTGCACCCAGTGGCAACGTGTGTATAAGTATAGAGATAAAACCAAGATCTTGAAATTTCGCAAGGTTTTCTATAGGTGCAATACTGAGAAAAAAAAAAATGATTGCTTTGACAATACTATAAAAGATGTTCAAGACTAGTATATCCTACTTTGTCTGCATCAAACAATTGTTAACCAAGCAAAAATACAGAAAATATATGGCAATTTTGCATGGATTTTTAACAAAAACATACTAACCAAAATGGTTGCTTTGACAATACTGTCAGATAGAGGATGTTCGAGGTCACTATTCTTCTGAAGCCTTAAAAGAACATCAACTAGATCTTCCCCATTTTCTTCACCAACAGCTTCTGTCTCCAAAATTCTGTTTCTGTGATCTGTTACAATGTTTTCAAGTATCCTATCTATTTCTCGATGCATCTTCTCAACTTTAGTCTTAATCCCAGTAAGAACTTGAAGAACTCCAATGGAAGGATATAGATCAGCAAGAGAGAACCCTGCAACAACCTTTGAGAGATCTTTCATAAGATCTATATAAACTTGTTGGTCCTTGGATTTTGCACCAAAAGCAATTCGTGATGTTATTCCATATGCCAATGAATGAATCTTCTTACTGAGATTCATAGGCGACCCTGCATTCAAGGATATCTCCTTGACAAGATTTAACAACTCTTCTTCCCTAATTGACCTGAAGGACTCAACACGCTTGGGTGCTAGTAGCTCCATTGCACAAATCTTTCTCATCTGCCTCCAATAAGTTCCATGTGGACTGAAGCTCATGCTCTTATTACCATAAGTGATTACTTCTGCAGCAAGCACATGAGGCCTATTTGCAAAGTTGATATCATGTGTTTTCATCACTTCTTTGGCCATTTGTGGTGAAGATACCACTATGCAGGAAAGCTCACCAAGCTGTATATGCATGAGAGGGCCATATTGATTTGCCAATCCTGCTAGGGAGCGATGAGGCAGAGTTCCTAGATGGTGGATATTCCCTATGAGAGGTAGTTTCTTTGGTCCTGGTGGTAACTTGGAGTTTGAGTTCTTGGTTTTTGATCTCCAAATTATGTTGATTATCATGAACACAAAGAGGAAGAGAGGAAGGATTGTGGACAGGAAAATATGAACCTCCAACCCCATGATTGCAATGGAAAACGAAGTCAACATGAATAAGTAATCTGCAGCTTGATGCTGAAATGAGTAAATCTAGAGGAAAAACATCTAATGAGAAACTGGTCACACAGTAATCAACATTAAATAACAGGCTAGCACGTGAGGCCATTTTCAACGCTGAGTTTTTTCTCTCAGAGAAGTTATAATCTATGATTTGTGAAAGTAAATTAATATAAATTGATATCTAAGATAAATGATAATTTGTAACATAATTGTAATTAAAATAATATTCGCAGAAAGAATACGATCGGTTATTACGTTTAACATGACATTTTTTTTCAGGACTTGCTCTAATTTTTTCTTCTTGAAACTTTATATATAGACATTTTTTTTTCTTGTGGCCTGTCTTGTACTAGTGACATGGGATGGAACCATTGATTTTGAATTTGTCCATTCTAATTTTTATTTATGTAGGAAGCTAACCAAAAGATAGAGAGGTTATAAGTTATGAATAACAAGTCTTTGATTTAAAAAATTGTTAATGAACATAATCAAATTCAAATCTTAGAAATAAAATTTTAAATTTTTTTAATCAACTGAACCAGCTCACCATTTCGTAGAAAATGATACTTATTGACTTTATCTCCATAGACTTCTATTTAATTAAATAAACTGTAAATTTCCTGTATATTTTTGTGAATAATTCAAATAAATTCTGATGCCAAATCAATACACCGAAAAATGGTTATATATAAAATGAGATTTGAAAAGAGAAACTATGGTTCTCAAAGTTAATTATCTGTATAACAGGAAAGTCAACAGCCAATAAATAAATAAACTTGGATCTAAAACATTATTTTATAAGATGTTCACTAACCCTAATGCAATTAAAATAAAATAAAAATGCAAAAATTACAATATTATCGTTGAGCCACCCTAGGAGCTTGGCATGCCAAGAAGCCTTTGAAATTCAAGCAACAATGCACATGGCTTATGCAAGCAGGGTCTCTTTCATTAACCGCTCTCACATCATTCTTCACAGCATCCATGATGTCTTGATCAGCTTCCAAAACTCCCACAAAAAGATCACAAAGGGTCCCACTTGGAAGGCTTGCACTGCTCAATTTCATAGCAAGGTGACTGCATCAATGGCACATTAGTTAGACAAAGGAGAAGGTTATTCATCTTTTGGTAGCGTTTGTACAAATATTTTGCTTTTCAAATAATATAAGAGCACCTCATTTCGATGTTTACAGAGAACTAACCTCTTGCTGTTGGTCAGCTCTGTTTCTCTTCACGTTCCTGTTTATCTCCATTGTTTACTACACTTGTTCGAGTGTTTGCCAGGGAGGGCCGCATTGATGCTCTTTCCTTGCTGAATGAGATGAAGAGTAACTCGTTTGATGCTGACCTTGTCCTCTATAATGTATGCATAGATTGTTTTGGCAAAGTTTATAAGGTGGTTATGGCCTGGAAATTCTTTCATGAAATGAAAGCACAAGGGTTGCTTCCTGACAACGTGACATATACTAGCATGATTGGGGTTCTTTGCAAAGTTGAGAGGTTAGATGAAGCTGTGGAGTTGTTTGATCTCAACAGAAGTGTTCCTTGTGTTTATGCTTATAACACCATGATTATGGGTTATGGTTCAGTTGGGAAATTTGATGAAGCATACAGTTTACTTGAGAGGCAAAAGGGAAAGGAATGTATACCTAGTGTAATTGCATATAATTGCCTTCTGACTTGCCTAGGAAGAAAGGGTAAAGTAGAGGAAGCATTGAGAACCTGAAGAAATGAAAAAAGATGTAGCACCCAATCTTGCAACCTACAATAATTTGAAACGATTATAAATCTATTCAAACAAAATTTATAATAAAAGAACGTCTAATGACTTGATTTCATGCTACCAAAAAATATACTTCGAAATTCCTTTTTATATGTTAGATTCCAACCGAAGAACTTGTGGCTGAAGACATTCTCCAAACCAACAAGCCACTCAGGAAAACTTGCAAATTCCTTAGTTCTGACACAAGTAGGTTAACATTTTTTTTTTTGGTAGTCCAAGTAGGTTAACATTTAACCATATCACAAAGATGAATTAGCTACACCGGGAGTAAACTGATCTGAACATTTAACTTTTGCTGTGTAAATTTTCATTCAAAATTTAATAATCAAGTTGCAAAATGTTCATTCAAAATGAAAACTATCATTAATTGATTTAATACCTAATTTAATATCAAATTGTTTTGAGTGAACATTTAACTTTTGCTGTGTAAATTATATTTAATTACGTGGCATAATATTTTTTTTTTTGGAGTTACCCAACCCTAATTATCTCTTTGAGACGAGTTGGCTCCCTCCGGTATCCCCACGAGCTTCGACTCTTTGAGCCGGCTATGGGACTAATCCGGAGTGCGGGGGAACAGTGATGGCTAAAGGTTCAGCCCCCTCCCCAAGAATGCATTCAGCGGGAATCGAACACATATCCAACCCCACTAACTCAGCGCCAAGTTACCAACTGAGCTGCACCCATTGGGTTGTGGCATAATATTTTTTTACTAAAAAATTATTTCACAGTATTAAAAAAATTCAATAATATATTTATTGAAAGATAATTTGAAAATCAAATTTACTTTTATTTTATAAAAAATAATATTATTATATAATAATATTTCAAAATATTGTCATGTCTTTCTTTTTAAAAAAAAAACAACACTAAATCACAACTGACAAGAAATATGAATAGACAATAATAGAAAAAGCATAAATAAAAACAAATTTGACTTTAAATAAATTAAGAATAATTAAGGGAAAAAAAATTAAAGACAAAAAGAAGTGCCCGGAAACCCACCCTCTGATGAAATAAATAACTAAAAGGAATATAGTTATTTGCAATCCCACCCTTGTATCATAAAGGATATCAAGAGAATAAGGAGATTATCTTTCTGTTAAAAATTTGAATGTCAGGTCGAGTGTTCTGCAAAGATCTCCCAGACCAGTACAACCCATTGCATTTCGACGATATATCAATATCACATGTAAGGATATGAAAGAAAATGGCAGGTTATTCAATCATTAAATAAGGCCATGATGATAAAACAGCAAAATGCTAATTACCACTTCGTATTACAGCCATTGAAATAATTTTTTTTTTTAAATACAAAAGCATCACATGATGCCAATAATCATTATATTCCAATAACATCATGCAAACCTAGCCACATTTTCCTGTAGTTTCAATTAATTCTCAACAAAATTAAGAGGGTGTGAAAATGAGTTATTCAAAAGCAGTTGACAAATGATAGAGACTAGTCAAAAATTGGCATCCAACTTAGAATTACCTCATAGTTAAGACAGCTGAAGACTGTCCATTGGCAGTCAAATTTGAGTAAATATCCTTCAACATCAACGTCAATATCAACAACACTTTTATCCCAAACTATTTAGGGTCAGTGGCTTAGGAATCCAAATGAAAAGAGTAAATATCCTTCATGAATGAAAAATACAAGGAGGGAATTCGATTAGGGACTTCCTTGCAATAAAATTTGTAAACACATTAATAATACCCTTTAAAATCAATCATGACTATGTTTTCGAAATTGAACAATAATGAAAGCCCAGAATCCACTGACTCATAGAATCCATGCTGGTAATGATGTCAACGTAGTTCTACTCGCTAGTTTAGGACCTCTATACTCATGCCTCAAACTCAAAGCATAAAGTCAATTAAGTTACAAGGGTGACTTGAGAATATGAACATAGGATATACACCATGCATAATGATTAAATGTCTTGTTTTTAACCATAAAATATATTGCCTGGAAATCCAGTAATCTACTCAATACAGAATATTACAATCTGGCAAAATATTTTAAAAAATGTGGCAAACATGGAAACACACAGACGAATGAAGTTATATATATTCTTTCCCAGGAAGACCATCACGCATGAAAAAAATAATTCTGAAACCCACACTAAACTTCATAAGAGTTAGAACAAGTGTAGAATAATAACACTTCGAAACTCATTTGCATGAAGCTGTCAAATATTCTAGAACCTGAATAACTATTTTAATTTGTAAGAATTACCTTCGAGTTATCAAAGAACTGGTGACATTAGAAATCTTTTGCTTTGCCTCGCAAATTGCCTGATCAGTCAATGGGAAGGTGTAATAAGGCAAGCACTTACTGAAAAGACCACCACTTATTATGGTCCAGAAGCCAGACTTCTATTCCAGTACCAGTACAACACACACAACCTGTTCTCAAGAGAATCTTGTAGCATGTTGAGACTTTGCCATCTCCCTTAAGACAGCACCAACAATAGCTGCCTGCTCAAGGCAGTCCGCCTTATGCAATGCATCTAAAAGAACAACACATGTTTTGCTATGTATACGACAACCTTTCAGCCGAGTTTCCTCAAAAAGTGTATATGCATCCATTGCTTTATTGGCACTGCATAGTCCTTCTATCATTGCATTATAACAAGCTGAATCAGGTATGCCCCCACTTGCCTTAAATCTCTCAAAGAGGCCTTTCGCTTCTTGAACGTTTCCAGCCTTTGCAAGTCCTGAAATCATGGTGGTGTATGTGATAGTATTGGGTTTTAACCCTTGTTTCTGCATTTCTTGCCAGAACACGTAGGCCTTATTAAATTTTCTGACCATACAAAGACCATTTATCATAATGCTGTATGTTATTTCATTTGGAGAACATTTCAAGCTTTTCATGTTCTGAAAGCAGACCAGAGCTTCATCAATCTCCTCAGCTTTCACCAATGCATCAAGTAAGCAATTCCATGTGTATGCGTTTGCGGTCAGACCTTTCTGCATCAACTCCTCCAAAATTAAATATGCTTCATCAATCCTTCCCACCTTCCCAAACCCATCAATAAGACTGCTGTAGATAACTACATTTAAATCAACACCTTTTGATTTTGCTTCTTCAAATAACATATATGCTTCATCGAGCCTGTCAATTTTAGCAAGTCCATCAATGACAGAACCATAAGTTACAACAGTAGGTTGGAGACCCTTTGTCTTCATTTCCTCCAACAGTTGGTAAGCTTTATTGACCTTACCAGACTTGCAGAATCCATCAATAACTGTGTTGTAAGCACGGGTGTCCAAATGCAGTCCTTTTTCTTTCATCTCATAAAACAATTTATATGTTTCTTTGGAAAAACCTGCTTTCACAAGACCGTGAATTAAAATTGAGTAGCTCCGAACATCAGGAACTAACCCGTGAGCCTTAATTTCTTCAAATAAAGCCCTTCCCTTCTCAATTTCACCAGCTTTGAAAACACAATCCATGTAAGTATTAAGGAGCATCAGATCAGGAGAACAGCCCCTATGCAACATCTCTTTGTAAATTTTGTGACCATCCTCCTTCCTACCACATTTGAAGAAGTTCCTAATAAGGGATGTATATACCACTTCATTCGGAGTCTTATCAGAATCTAACATCTTTTCATAAAGCTTATAGGCATCATTCACCCTGCCATGTCTGCCCAAGCCATCAATAAGTGAACAAAATGTAAATGTGTCAGGGGTGCAAACTTTATGATCCAATCCTAAAAATATGGAGCAAGCTTCATCAAGCCTTTGAGCTTTACATAGCCGATCAATCATTATATTTACAGTTATGATATTAGGGAATAAGCCAGCCTCTTTCATGGCGTCCTGAACTTTTAGAGCAGCTTCGAGTTCTCCTGCCTTGCAAAGCATGTCAATTAAAATATTGTAGGTTGCAAGATTGGGTGCTGCATCTTTTTTCATTTCCTCATAGATTCTCAATGCTTCCTCTTCTTTACCCTTTCTTCCTAGGCAAGTCAGAAGGCAATTATATGCAATTACACTAGGTATACATCCCTTTCCCTTTTGCCTCTCAAGTAAACTGTATGCTTCATCAAATTTCCCAACTGAACCATAACCCATAATCATGGTGTTATAAGCATAAACACAAGGAACACTTCTGTTGAGATCCAATTCTTCAAACAACTCAACAGCTTCATCCAACCTCTCAGCCTTGCAAAGAACCCCAATCATGCTAGTATATGTCACGTTGTCAGGCACCAACCCTTGTGCTTTCATTTCATGAAAGAATTTCCAGGCCATATCCACCTTACCAACTTTGCCAAAACAATCTATGCATACATTATAGAGGACAAGGTCAGCATCAAACGAGTTACTCTTCATCTCATCCAGCAAGGAAAGAGCAGCATCAATGCGACCCTCCCTGGCAAACACTCGAACAAGTGTAGTAAACAAATGTATGCTTACTTCATAACCTATTTCCTGCATTTGATGAAAAAGAGTGAGCATGAGATCAGCTTCATGAGCTGCAGAGAGGGCACCAATCAGTGTCGTATAAGCCGAAAAAGCAGGGCGAAACTTGAACTTCCTCATTGTTTCAATAACACCAAAAGCTTCTCTTAGCTTCCGCGACTTAACAAAACTAGCAACCAGTTCAATACAAGTATTATTAGATGGTCCAAATCCAGCCATACTCATTTCCCCAAGAATCTGTTCCAAGTAGTCCAAGTTTCTGGTCCTAGCCATAACCATGAGAAGTGCATTGTAGGCTTCTGGGCAATGTGCTTGTTCAGTTTTCCCCTCCACCCACCTAAAATAATGCAATGCCAAATTCACATCCTTCAACCTCCTTATTACCCCAACAACCAATTCTGGTTGAGGAATTTCATCAAACGAGTTGAGAGCATCCTCAAGGGCAGGTCTCCAAGGACCAGTGTCCAACACCCGACATACATCTTGAACTGACTTTCTCATACCCTCCACTTTTGTTGCACTGTCTTGGTAGGTATCATCCACAAAGGAATTAACTTTCCCATAAGGAGACCCATTTGAAGAGGACGATGAGAACTCCTTGGATAATGGGTCTATTTTCTGAAATTCAAGAACAAAGCGCAACTTCAGAACTGCAACCAAAATTAAATAAGAATAATAAGATTTCAAATTGCAACCCTGAAAGGAGTATATGATAATAAGGACGATGATAATGTTTCATTAAAATTGGAAAAAAAAAAAAAAAAAACTTGGCCCCTTGAGACAATCTTCATGCGCTCAAGCACACTGTATTCTAGTGATAGGAAAGGGAATAATCCGGTGCAATTACATTAAAAGCCTAACAAATAACAAGATTAAGATCCTATGAAAACAAAACCAAAAAAAAAATAAAAAAAATCGTACGAGTGAATTGAAAAACAGAGATTATATAATAAACAACAACAAAAAAAGTTAATAAACAACTGAGAAAGAATGGGAGTGCGTACGAGAATTGGCCATGGAGATTTCATTGGGGTCAAGCCAAACCTTCCCTCTTCCGCACTTGAGCACGCTTGATGCCAGCCGCTTCTGCAGTTTCAGCGACATCATGTTTCTGTGTGTTGTAGAGAAGCTAATGCTATCGCGATGATACGTACAAGGGAAGCACTACATAACTAGGAGCGTTTAACATTTTTCTTTTTTATAAAAATGTTAAAAAAATTAAAACATTTTTTTTCATTTGTATTAATTAAGCCATCTCATTTCTTGTTCTATGGCCCAATAATAAAAACAGCAACTGTGAGCTTACCACACAAAAAAAAAAAAAACAGCGACTGTGCATTTTTTTTCATTTTTTTATTTTGGTACAAACAATTGTGCATCTTTTGTTTCTTGACCTAACAAAACTTGGGATTTTGACTTGAAATGAGTATATGATCCTTTTCAAGACGTGAAAAAGGAAAATTAACCTGCGAGCAAGATTGAAGCAGATCAAAAATAGGTTTTACATGTCTAAAAAAAAAAATTACAAATTTCAAAAGAAAAAATGGGTAGTAATAAAAATCACAGTCCTAGCCTTAAATCCAATTATTATGTATTGTTTTAATTTCTCCCTATAAGCACTAAAAAATTTCAAAAGTATAAGAACAAATTGCAAGCAATTATATAAATATTTATTTATAAAATCCAAATTTATTTCCATATTTAGATTTATTTTTAAAGTGTTTAACATAAAAAATATTTGTATTTCTTTTTATCTCTTTATAAGTATTGTTCACGTCACCCTTTTAATTTTGGACGCTTCATGTATATATAGGATATTGTAACAACCAAAAAATGTTACAATCAATGTTACGACCACTAATCTAATCGTTAAATTGAAAATCTCATCTGACGATCCTGATTCAAGGTATATATAGTCTTCTTTATTCCCTTCACTCTGTCCCTTCTCCCTCTCTTTTCCCTTTTCTCTCTCTCACTATACTGCCGTGGCCGCCGCCTCCCATTGTCGCTGTCCATCTCCGCCGCACTCTTCCCCGCCGTCGCTTTCTGCCGCCGCCTCCGCCGCACTCTTCCACGGCTATGCATCTCGCGGAGATCTTCGCCTAATCCACGAGCTAGGGTTTCTGTCGGAAGATCAATTCTCGCCGGGGTTTTGTTGGGGGAGACGTAATCGCCGGCAACCATGGCCACCAACTTGCAGATGAGTCCTCAGGTGGAGCAGATCCACGGTGAAATCCGTGACAAACTTTCGAGCACTTGCGTATGTGTCTTTCTGTATTATGCAGTGGACCAATTGCTCAGATGGCAAAGTAAGTCTATCGTCTTTCTGTATTATGCAGTTGGTTTTTAATTTCTTTCTCATTCCACATATTAATTGATGAAGGGTGCAATCTTTGAACCCAACTATTTGTGGAGCTTCTGTTCATGAAATCACTTTGTACTGCAATTAAAGTAAAATATTTCCATGGATTTTTACAATTAACTCAATGAATCATCATTTCTGTGGTAACTTTGTTTGGGATACAGGTAGAAGAATTGGTTCAAGAAGATTCTCGAGTAGATCACTATCCAAAGTTGGTGAAGGGTGATCAAACGTGGTATGGGAATGGCAAGGTACATGGCTTACCGACATTTTTCTGTAGTTAATGAGAACAAGATGTTCCAAAAAAATTACTTCAAAATTGGGGAACTTTAGCTAAACTATTTTCATTATTCAATTCACTTCTAGTATAAATTTGTTAGACAATAAAATGAAAATATGCTCCTTCAAAATTGGGGAACTTTAGCTAAACTATTTTCATTATTCATGTCTCAGCTGAAGCGTAGTCCTACCTTATTTGTTCAAAGAAGCTGAGAAAGATATCTTGTTTATGTTTACAGCAGCAAGGGGCGGCATTGGTGAAAGTGTGACCTGCAAGATCATTGGTGTAAGGGTGTTATCTTGTGGCTAATAGTTCCTTTTGATTTTCATGAGAATGGCTGCAGATTTTCAGTGTACCTAAATGGAAGCTTGAAATAGTTGTACAGTATCTTTGGAAATACATAACTAAGGTAGTCCACCGCTAGACTATTTGAAAATCTTTCATAGTTGTACGTTATCTTTGAAACTGTTGCACTTGGAAATGCTGAAATTGATATTTACTATATGAAATTGGATTTGGATGCTTTTGGTGAGTGTGCATGTCTTTTTTTTTTTAGGCATCAATGTATGTTATCCAATTATAGAGATGTATCTATAGATTTTATAATGTTGCTGAATTGTATGGAAAGTAAACAAGCTTTTTACAGTTTGACTGAGAATGGAACAAAATATTTTATTTAAAAATTTTCACTAAACATCCTTATCATTATGTGCTTTCTTTTGACTCTGTAAGAACAAATAATGACCTCTATCTATGTAATATAGTATCAGCTGTTATGTTACTTATTCTTAATCACTGGATTTCAAGAATTTGTATGGAGATCTATTTGCGGGTGCAATATGGACAGCCACTGAAGAACAAGAAAATAATGGGAATTTCAGCACTAACAGAATTCCCTTCAATTGTGCAAATGATTCTCCTGTAAAATATGACACCATACCTGGAAGCTCCCTTCCAGCTTTAGGCTACATCTTTTCATTTGGTGAAAACAAGAAGAAAGATATTTATATCCTTGCAAGCACTGGTGTTTACCGAGTTGTTCCTCCAAGTCGCTGCAATTATGCTTGCTCACTGGAAAAGGTTAGGCAACATCAGCGTCGTGCAGTGCAAGATTTAATGTTGATGAGCACAAGAGCCAAGGCAATGGTCTTAGCCTCAAAAGCAAGCAAGTCTCTTCGGAGCCGAAGTTAATAGAATTCTGAAATCACATGTATTTTTTTAGTTACCCTACAATGTATTAGTAACTTCTTTTATATATGCAACAAAAAAATCTTCAAATTTTAATTCATTGATGTTGATATAAATTATCAATATGAGATAAATTATCCATGTGATTTGTCATTATACAAAGTATTAATTCACGTGGTGTATTATAAAAAATTACATGGATTAGCGTACTCAAAATTTTAACAACTATTACATAACAACACTTTATGAAATGCATTGGTCTAAGACATTATGTAGATTAGCACCTTTCACCTTATGGCACATGACAAATATGCGATGGAAGTTGATTGTCTATTTATTAACCAATTGTACCATGCATCATACTCACTTTATGAGCATTTTAACTCGTTGATGCTCGAGAACTAGTTTATATAAGAATTATAATTACATACAATAATACAATACGTCTTGTACCTGTAACAAATGTCATATAACCCAAAAAACAAAAAAAAACTAGAGTCAATGTATTTTTTTCTCTCTACATGTACGCTTTTTATAATTATGTTTTATAAAGCTACAATTTTATTATAAGTTATGCTAAGAGAATCGTTTTGTGTTTTTGGATCATTGTGTGCATTAAAAGAAGTTGAATTATATCTTAATGAGCGATGATACAAAATCTATAGAGTGTACCAAGCAGTCAGAGCAGATTGATTATCTATTACTTGTTAGTTTTCACTGTTTATAATTTTGATGATTGATTATCAAAAATAATTTTTCTTTTTAGATAGATAAGTTGTTCAACACACATGTTCATTATGTGATATTTTTTTTACATGCATATATATAATTTTGTGTCTTGTATCTTGACCTTAAGTAGTAGAAAGTAAAAACATTATGTTTCGTGTCGTTTCTAAGTTTGACGTTTCTACTACCCCTTTCCGTTTTTTTTTATAGAAACTCGAGCTTGACAGCATTGAAAAAAGTAACGAAATTCTCTACATATCTATACTAGCCCTCCATGCATTAGCATCTTCTCGTTACTGCTCCTGGTTTTGATCAATAAGTTGAAAATTATCTTCTTCATTTGGTATCAGAGTTATGCATATATGATTATAAGACCCATAATTTTTTTATTCATTAAAAATAATTCAAAATTTGCATATAAAATCTAAAGTTTATGATAAAATTTCTTTTGAAATTTTTTTCTATTAATTTTGAAAATCTTGAAAGGTTTTTGTTCTATGTGATGAGAGTTTTCTAACTATATATCATGTGTATATTTTCAATTGAGTATTTTAAGAAAAATTTGAAAACAATCAATTAATATACTTTAAAATCTTAATACAATACACCCCTCAGTTGGGGTATGGTTCTTTTCAGTGGTCCCAAACTCTTTTAATTGTTTGGTGTTGAAATTCAGATAACTTGCTTTTCTAATTCTTACAACACACCAAGTCTTATACTTGTTTTATGTAAAAAAAAAGTGAAAATATAAACAATTAAACCTATCAGTTACTGAACAAAAGCAATCTGAAAATTATAAATTCTGACTAGTGTTCTACTCATTGAAGGCATCCAAACAAATTTTCATGGGCTATAATCTACATTAATTTTATCCGCAACCCACTGATTCAGCGCATGCCACACACCAAGAAGTATAGGAAAATGAAAGCTGCAGATGCGAAATTCATGTAATATGTATTAAAGGGTGGTTCTAGCACCATACAACAACACAAGCACTGCTCAGCATATCTAATATCATGTTCCTAAGGGCACGCTCTTATTATTTTCGTTTGTTATTGTTTGTAGGAGAACTACGATTCTCTCTTACATAACAAACAAGAACCCCCAATCAAAATTACTTAAAAAGTTCTAAACATAAACTGTAAAACATGCTTGACATTAAACTCTAAACACAATAATCATAAAAATCAGAAAAATGTGAAGTATGATCCATGGTCAAGCTAGGAATCTTATCTAGTTTAATGGGATTGTTCTTCCCTCCAATCAACTTGGCTGGATTCCCAACAACAGTAGTCCTTGGAGGCACTTCCTTTATCACCACAGAACCAGCACCAATTTTAGCCCCATCACCAATCTTAATATTCCCCAAAATACAAGACCCTGCACCTATCAACACCCCATCACCAATCTTAGGGTGCCTATCACCACATACCTTACCAGTGCCTCCCAATGTCACACTATGCAAAATTGACACATCATTTCCAATCACAGCAGTCTCTCCCACCACAATCCCAGTTGCATGATCCAGCAAAATCCCACTTCCAATCTTAGCTCCTGGATGAAAGTCTACTCCAAAAACTTCAGAAACCCTATTCTGAATCATGACTGCCAAAACCCTCCTACCCTCTAACCAAAATTTGTGAGCCACCCTATGAGCTTGGCATGCCAAGAAGCCTTTGAAATTCAAGAAACAATGAACATGGCTTATACAAGCAGGGTCTCTTTCATTAACTGCTCTCAGATCATTCTTCACAGCATCCATGATGTTTTGATCAGCTTCCAAAACTCCCACAAAAAGATCACAAAGGGTCCCACTTTGAAGGCTTGAACTGCTCAATTTCATAGCAAGGTGATTAGCCAACGCGCTTTCCAACGATTCATGAGACAAAATGGAATTTTGATAGTAACTAGACAAAATCGGTTCCGAAGTGACATCGAATCTGGCTTCGTCCTGCATCTTCACCCACACATCGCCTTCAGCCTCATCCACTTCAACTTCCTCTGTAACCGAACGAGTGTGCAGGGTGTTAACCCTATATTTGCAAATGGGTAAGGAGGGAACACGATCGGCGAAACTGGGTCGCGAGATTCTTGAATGATCTTGTTCATGGGTTTGGGACCTTGAAGCATCAACGCAAGAAGCCATAGACTTGAAGCGCAGAGGAGAGAAAGGATGGCCAACAAAGAGTTTTGGTGTTGGAGTGACGAGGGAAGTGAGGGAGCACCCTCTCACCATAGCTTTCATGGTGGGAAAATTGCAAGATTTTCTGGGAAAATAGTTTGAAAGAAATGTTAAGGCTAAGGAAACTGAAGAGACGATGTACTACTCCTTCAATATATAAAGAATGTAAAAGGTACAGAATATGTTAAAAAATAGTTATTTTTTAAATTTGATTTAATTAATTATAAGCATACGTATAAATTTTGTTTTATTTGTTCACATATATCATTAAAAACTAAAAAGTGTTGCTTTTTATTTTGTATTTTTTGATAAAGAGAGGGGCCTAAATCCAAAAGTTTTTAAAATAATGTTAGGGAAAAAAAACTAAGATGGTAAAAAAATAAAAATAAAAACTTTAAGTAAATTTTAATTGTTTATCTATTTAATAATGATCTATTTAGGATTATCCTTGAACTAATATCAAATTCATATTGAGGTAATAACGTAATGAGATTATATATATAAGGAAACTTTTCCTCTTCCGATAACTTATATGTTTAAGGGGAAAATGTCATACAATTATGTATAGGGGTGTGTAAAAAAACTGGTTCACTTGTCTTGCCCTTGATCCGACCTTGACTCGACCCATAAATACCCATATTTTTTGAACTGGTTTAAATACTGACCCACTTTTATTTGGGTCAATTTTAGATCTGACTCGTTTTAATATTGACCCACTAACCCAAAACTTAACCCATACTCATTATGTGAAAAACAAAATCACAATTACGTCAAAATTTTTTATGGAAAATATTTGCATCAAATTTGTGACTAAAAACATATCGGTAAAAAAATTTGACGGAATATTTTTTTTGTCAATTTTTTTTACTGAATCTAAATTTCGTAAAAATATTTCACAAAAAAATATATTCATAAAAATTTTCGACGAAACACATTTTCATCGAAATTCTTTGACGGAAAAAAATTTCATCAAAATTCTTTACAGATTTCAAATTTCGGCGAAAGTTTTCGACAGAAACATTTTCGTTAAACTTTTTGATAAAAAAAAATTTCGTCGAAATTTTTAGCGAAACACATTTCTATCAAAAAATTACGACTAAATATTTTCGTCAAGTTTTTTGATAAAGAATATATCCATCAAAATTTTCAACGGAACACATTTCTGTAAAAAAATTCGTAAAATTTTTTGACAAAAATATTTTGATAAGAAATTTTGACAGAAAAAATATTTTGTCTAAATTTTTTAGAGAATCTAAATTTTGTCGAAAGTTTCAAATGAAACATTTTCCTCAAAACAATTTCCATTGAAATTTTGACGAAATACATTTCCAACGAAAAATTTTGACAGAAAAAAATCTCATTAAAATTCTTTACATATTTCAAATTTCGGCGAAAATTTTCGACGGAAATATTTTCGTCATCAAAAAATTTTGACGGCAAAAAATTTCATCAAAATTCTTTACAGATTTCAAATTTTGGCGAAATTTTTCGACGGAAACATTTTCGTCATCAAAAAATTTTGACGGCAAAAAATATCGACGGCAAAAAATTTCATCAAAATTCTTTACAGATTTCAAATTTCGGCGAAAGTTTTCGACTGAAATATTTCCGTCATAAAAAATTTTTGACGGCAAAAAATTTCATTAAATTCTTTACAGATTTCAAATTTTGGCGAAAGTTTTCGACGGAAACATTTTTTTCATCAAAAAATTTTGACGGCAAAAAAATTCATCAAAATTCTGTACAGATTTCAAATTTCAGTGAAAGTTTTCGTCGAAAAAATTTTAATTAAATTTTTTGACAAAAAAAAATTTTCGTCGAAATTTTTAGCGAAACACATTTCCATCGAAAATTTTCAACTAAAAATTTTCGTCAAGTTTTTTGGTAAAAAATTTCCATCAAAATTTTCAACGAAACACATTTCTATAAAAAAATTCCGTAAATTTTTTTGACAAAAAACATTTTGACGAAAATAATATTCAGTCAAAATTCTTTAGAGAATCTAAATTTCGTCGAAAGTTTCAAATGAAATATTTCCCTCGAAATAATTTCCCTTAAAATTTTCGTCATAACACATTCCCTTCGAAATTTTGAACGAAAAACATTCCGTCAATTTTTTTGACAAAATTGTTTTTTCGTTTAAAACATTTGATGGAAGAAATCATTTTCGTCAAAACTGTTGACGGAAACTAAATTTCAATAGAAAAATTTTTTTTGTAAAAATTTCGACGAAAAAATAATTTGGTGACGAAATTTTCGTCTTTTGCAACGTTAAAATTTCGACAAAATTTTGTGACAAAACCAAGTCAAAAACGGGTCAGGTCAGATGTGACCCAATTCAGAAACCAAGTCAGGTCAGATCCAAACTGGTTCTGAACTAGTTCAACAAAATCCAATCCAAGTCAGACCTGACTTGGATCAAATTAAAACGGGTCGGGTCAAAATACCTGACCTATAAAAACCAAGTTGGATCGAGTCGGACAAAAACCTGACCCGACCTGACCCATGCACAGCCCTAATTATGTATAATTGTTTGATTGTATGTTGAAAGGAGTGAAGATGCTTCGAACCTGCAAGCTTTGTAAAAGAAAAGTCCACCTATCTCTTCATTCAGTCAAGATTGTTTCAAGATTGATGGGAAGAGTGGCCAAAGAGTCAACGTTGGTAAAAAAAAATATAAAAATGTCACATGGTATATTTCGGTATACTGTATAGTAAAATATGTATGTAAATAATTCGCTATACGGTGTAGCGAAATATGCTACGTCAAAACCAAAAATATCACGTGTCAGACAGGGAGAATTTCGCTACACAATTTCATCACACAGTGTAGCGAAATTCTCCCTGTCTGTCACGTGGCATTTTTGGTTTTGTGCATTCTGACGCGACATATTTTGCTACACCGTATAAAAAATTATTTGCACACATATTTCGCTACACAGTGTAGCAAAATATGTCACGTGACATTTTGGTAAAATTTACTGTTGACGTGACATTTTGATGTTTTTTTTTTTTTGCCAACAATGTTACTTTGGCCACTGTTCCAGATTGATGCCCGTCACCCCATCCCCATCCCCATCCCCATCCATTCCATTCCCATGTAACCCATGACATCATCAGTTAATAATTTTTAATGATTTAATTGTTTTTTTGATTTCCCTGTTATGATTGACAAAACAAAACACACACAAAAACGGTTAGAACCAGAACTAATCTCTGCAAAAATAAATGAGATTTTTTTTATAACAAATAAATGAGATTTTGGTTTGCTTAAATCTAAAACAAATCGACATTCAAAAAATGATGGTAGCTCAGTTGACGTATGAGAGCTGAGCAAGTGGGGATGAAATTATATATTTGATCTTCCTGAATATCATTTTTAAGAAAAGTTTAATGTCTTAATCTTAAACTCACTCCTAATAAGATTTTCTCTTTTTAAACATAACTGTGTTAATAATAAAAAAAACCGCACGAGTTAAAGTTCTATGGTAATCACATTGCGTTTTGAGCCAAGTCCCGCCTACATGCCATAGGTGACTTGATTGCTGTGGTGTATGTGAATTATGCATGTTTTTGTATACTACAAGGTGCTCTAAGATATTTTCAAATAAGAATAGAAAAAGATCACGAGATTCTTTGCCAAATAGTTAATTATAGGCGCTTCTTGTAAAAGAAATGATTGTAGTGCTATGGCTTTTATCCTATCCTTTGTATAAAATTAAATATGTATAGCAATAATTATAGTCAAATGTTTCTACTTTTATTAGGTCGCATAATCTGTTTTTTTTATCATATTTCTTTCTCCATATCAGTCTTCATGCTTTTTAAAGTTGTTATCTTTTTTTTTTTTGGATAACTTAAAGTTGTTATCTTTGTATCATATGCTACACATTAATTTTTAGTATAAAAAAGGATGCTTTTTTTAGTAGGCAGAGGAGAATCTTTTTGTTTGATGGTTGCTGTCTATGGTCTTCTATATTATCTAAAAAAAATTAACTTTGTTTTTAAAGCTAATTTCTATTATTAGTATTGTAAAGTAAAGGGCCTTAAAAATTAATATTTCTATTTACAAAAAAAATAAAATTAATATTTCTTTTGGATGAAGCTTGGCAACCAAAGCATACTTGTCTTGTTCGTAGTCAGCCTATCTATGTAAGCTAAAATTACGAAATGCTAATAATCAATTACGTGGGTGTTTAACTTATTCATTTTTTTAAAAGAAATTTATCCTAGTTAATTTTTCATTAATTTTTAATATAAATTTATGTCAATTAAAAATTATACTTAAAGCAACATAATAAAATTCATTTGTTAAATTAATATTTAAATTCATGTTTTGAAAATTCAAACATGAAAAATATTGATATGAATTATTTTAACTTTAAAAAGAAAAAAGAAAAAACTTGATACTTTTTTTCTCTCTCTCTTTTTGTAAGAGGACATCAAAGTTATACTAAACAATTTTTCTTAAGAAAACAGCATATTTACATAAAATTAAACTTCACCACATAATCAAATGTGAGAAGTCCTTGGTGGTAAAAAGGCATCCAAGTCATACTATGTGGGGAATGTGAGCATTATGTTACGCGTAAATTATACCATACTTTTTATCCTTGAGAAGATAATAAAAGTGACATCAAAGGAACATCAATAATGCTATAAACTGGACAAGAAGTCATCATTTGCAAGAGAAAACATAAGCAGAGGATATTTATGCATTGAAAACGTCAGAAAAAAGAGGTTCCACTTCAAGATAATAAAACAATTCTTACTAATTTAAAACTAGCTTGAAAAGGTAGCATGCGCAAACCAGGAGAGCAAAAGAAGGTCAAATAAGTTCAAGAAAAGAGAATTTCAGTCATAAGTGAGGTGCAGAATGTATGCAATGCAAGAATAAAAAAACATATCAAGGCTAGATGGTAAAGGATCAGAGAGCCTTACAACCCATAAACTAAACAATACAGGAAAACCATCTTGAACAAATTTTCAAACCAATCAAAATAACTTCATGAGCATAGTTTACTAGAAAAACAAAATTGCACATCATATCAGAATTTCAGAACTGTATGCGGTATAAAATATCTATGCATCAACAGGCAAGAC